CAAAGAAGAAGGACAGGAAGGGAATACGAGAGCAAGGCGAGTGAAAAAGGAGGTATGACGAACTTCCGAAATTAAGTAAAGACAATTCAAAGTCGGAGTGAAGGGGAGAGAGTGAGAATTTCCAATTCAAGTAAGGGAATGAGAGGAGATTTTCAAAGGATGGTGTAGGTTATATAGAAAAGCAGAATTCGTAGCGGTCACGAATTTGGAATAAAATTCTGAAATTATTTGGTCCTAAATTCATAATTACTAAAGAAATTTAAACAGAAGTCACCGAATTTCAAAATATTCATAAGACTTTCGAAAAGTTCAAGGAGGTGATAGAAGAGGTAGAGGTGAGTTCACTGAAAAATTTTGAAGTAAAATGAAAAATTTCTTGACTTATTTTCGGAATTAGAAGAATTTCAAAGGTAATATGAAATAAGAATACAAAACTAATTCCTAAATTAAAAATTTACGATGAGATTTCATAAAAAATTAGTGAAAGCCAAGTAAAGTAGGTTGGAAGAAATTTCAGCATATCTAGGTGAAATCAGGAAAATTTCTCAACGTGTTACAAGATTAAGATGAATTTGAAAGACATTTCTAAATAATTTCAAAGGAATTTCAAAAGAATTGCAGAATTTCGTAATGTTACGGGGGGGCAGACAACATAAATTGATTCGACTTCAGATGAATAAAATTTAATAAATTCCAAAATTTATTTCACGAATTTCTGAAATGGAATTGAATTTTGAAATTAAATAATGAAAGGAATCTGATAAAATAAAGAAATTCGCATTACTTTTGAATCAAAATGTCGGAATTAATCCCATTTGCGGTGTTGGTGGAGGAAAGGATGAAGATTAATCCTGTCGAATTCGTTCGAAATTCCGAACGGCAGAATGGGCGGCATTGTCAAACACGCGCAAGAAGGAAAGATGCACGCCACGCATAGTAGAAATTTTAGATGATACGACCAGTTACGTGGGAGGGTGGAGAAGAGAAGGGGGGTTGGAGAGGAGATAAAAGAAAAGGAAAAAGATGAGATCTTTGAGAGAGATCGGCGAGAGGAAGGGAGGAGAATCTCATTGAGAGAACGTCTCTCACACACGCATTCCATCGATAGGACAAGCAAACTCGGAATGAATCTTCTGTTGAAACGGGGAGATATACACTGTCACTTCTTGATTTGCTCATTCTATCGATCCAAGTGACGTGCAGCGAGGCTCGGGTTGGAGACTTAGCAGTTGGCCAAGGCTCGAGACTTATCGTCTCTCTCTCTCTCACACACACACACACACACATATAGATGTAGTAATGAATATACCCACATTTTAACAATAAATTCATTCATTTTATTTTTATTTACTTATGTATTTGTTTTTATTTATTTTTTTCTATTTTATTTATCCTATCGACGTGCCAAGAGGTAAGCCGCGAGATTGAATGCTTATCGGTTCTCTCTTCGTCGTCGCCGACGTCACGGTTGTCGGCCTTTGTCGTCAGTCCTCGTCATCGTCGTTGTCATCAACTTGACACTCAGGTAAGTATTTATTTTCCTCCTTTATCCTTCTCCTTCTTCTCCTCCTCTTTTCCTTCTTCTTCTCTCTTTCTTTCTTTCTCCTTCTCCTCCTCCTTCTTCTTCCTCTAAATGGTAAGGTTCAATGAATTTTTCCACGGCATTTCCAGTGGCAACCCGCCGAGATCACCGCGATCCAACACTTCACCGAATCATTCAATCGGTAGGGGCAACGGAGGTGTGTACAAAGGGCGGGAACGTAATCAGTACGGGATGATGATTCGCTCTTACTAAGCATTCTTCGTCACCGCGATCTAACACTTCACCAGGTAAGAGCCCCCCCCCTCTCACACACACACACACACACACACATTCCATCGATAGGATGAGCAAAAACGGAACGAATCTTTCGTTGAAACGTGGAAATATACACTTTCCTTCTTTGATTTGCTCATTCTCTCGATCCAAGTTGCGCGTGGCGAGCCGTGGGTTGAAGAGTTGCTGACCAAGGTTGGAGACTTATCGTCTCCTCTCTCTCACTCTCATACGTACTCACTCACACACAAATACACACACACACATACACGTGCATGGAGTTGTGAATATGTCCACATTCTAGCGGTAGATTCATTCTACTTATTTTTATTTATTTATTTATTTATTTTTATTTATTTATTATATTTGATCCATCCTATCGGTGTACCAGGAGGTAAGCTGCAAGATAAAAAACTTACCTCTTCTCTTTCTTCCCGCTGTCGTCGTCAGCCCGTCGTCATCGTCAGCCCGTCGTCGTCGTCAGCCGTCATCGCAGGTGCATCGCCCTCCCCGATTCTTCATGACGATCCGTCCGGTGTGCAGCATACCACGACCACGGCACGGGACACTACGGGCACAAGCTTGCGAGCTAGGCGGACATCAGGTAAGTCGCCCTTCGTCTCTCTCTTTCTCCCCCCCTTTTCTTCTTCTTCTTCTTCTTCTTTTTCTTTTTCTTTCTCTTTTTCTTTTTCTTCTTCTTCTTCTTCTTCTTCTTCTTCTTCTTCTTCTTCTTCTTCTTCTTCTTCTTTTTCTTCTTCTTCTTCTTGTTCTACGCTTCTCTCGCTACTCCTCCTTCTCTCCCTCGTGCGCTACCTCCACGTCTTTCACCGCGCAGTCCCTGCGTGCTTTTCATCTGCTCTCCCCGCTATCTCCCCTACTCCCCGCGCTATCTCCTCTACTCCCCTCTCTCCATCTCCGCTGCTCCCCGCGTTGTCTTCTCGTGCGCGCTGGCTTGCTTTCCCATGTCCCTCTCTCGTTTTTCCGCATTTCTCCGCCCGCGCGCTTCCTTCCTCGCGTGGTTTCTCCACCTTGGCTCCGTTCGGAGTTTCCCCCCCCGTCTAGACTCCGAGGTGGCGAGCTCCCCGTCTCGCGATTCGCTTTGCGCTGCCCTTTCCCGAGGTTGTGACCCACTATCGAGTGGCCCTCTCGAAATCGAAGCCGAGACTCGTGGGGTATCGGGGTGCCTTTCGATGAATCCGTCGCGAATCTCGCGACAGATTCATCAAAACAAGCAACCAGAAAGAAGCTACGGATCAAAAGAAAAGCAGGGAATAAAAATAATAATAATAATAATAAAAGAAGGAATTTAATCTTTTAAAGATAATAAAGAAATAAAGAAAACAAAGAAATCTAACTGCTAACTACCCTAAGCTGCCAAGTGGCAGCCCCCATTACAACAGAGGTTCATGTTCCAACTAACCTACTAACAGCAACTAACTCCTAATTCGAAGGTCGCGGGTTCGAGTCCCGGTCTACCGAACACGGGTAAATAAAAGAGGAGCCTCTTTTCAAAAGGAAGCTAGCTCGGAAGGGCGGTAGGCCTCAATCCCTATGTCTCCCATTTGTCAATCTGCACCTAAACCTATCGAGCTAGCTTCCACTTCGGGTAGAAGTGGGGCAACTCAGATATATGTAAGGTAGTAAGGCTCAGTCCGCCCAATGGCCCGAGCCCGTTTCCGAGTCTGTGTGTGAGCACTTGTTGTTCGGCGTGCCTGTCTGAGTGCCTGTCGGCTCAAGTATGTGTGTGGCCCGCAAGGGCACTTGGTTGACCGGTAGGCCCGAAGGCCGGTACTTACCTGTTGCCGTGACGTCAAGGGTTGCGGCAACACTAAGTGGCGGGGAAAGACGTTTGCGGCGCTAAAGAGCCGCCTAAAACACTCAAGTAGTATGTAGGCCAGTATCACTCCACGTAGAGGTAGATGCAGCGGGTACTCGACTCGGAGGCCGAGTACGGAAAGACGAAAATTTTTAACCCCCTGGTACCGGTAGACAGACAGGTACCAGACCAAATCTCAGTGCGTGTCGTAGATCTACCTGACACAACATTAACCCAACTGACCCCTCGACCTCTTCTGTCGAGGGGTATTACTACTGATGCTAATCATCGCGGCGCGCGTCACGACAACGCGCTCACATACTTAACGAAATTTTCTCACCGATTTTTTCCCCGCCTCAGTGGCCGAGGAATTCGTTTCCGGTGTCACGCCAAGCGTGCACATCCCTTTCATTCCAGACTGGCTCCGTCATGGTAGTCGACGCTGTCACCGTGTCGAATGCAAAAGCACGACCAAATAGGGTATTTGGTCCGACATCGTACCGGGTGAAAACGAGCGGCCCCGGTGCTGCTCCCTATCAAAAAGGAACTAGCTCAGGGTTGGGCGGACTTGATCCCTAAATCTGTAGCGTCACAGTCTGAACCCGAACCTACTGAACTAGCTCCTATTCTAGTTAAAAAGGAACCGCTCAGATACATATACAGTTTTCGGGCTCAGTCCAACTAGTGGCCCGAGCCTGTTTCTGAGTCTGTGTTTTGTGTGCACGCTTGCTGGTCTGCATGTCTGTCTGAGTGCTTGTCGGCTTGAGTGTGTGGGTGTCCCACATCGACACCCGTTTATTTTAGAGGCCCGCATGGCCGATACTTACCTGTGATCGTGACTTTTAGGGTTGCCGCGGAAAAACATTCAAGTACCGGGGGTAGGCTTGCGACTCTCACAGCCGTGGGGAAAAAACACTCAAGTAGCACGTCAGGCAGTACCACTTAAGCACCAGTAGATGCGCAGGGACCAGGCCGCCGAGCAGAAGAAAACAAAAGCTAGCTTTCCGGGTACTACTGCAGTCCCGTAGATTATACATTAATGATCGTCTCCGGTCGAGGCGTAAATTAATTTATCCTAACTAACGTACCGACGATCAGGTCTTAGCGTGTATCGTAGATCTATCCGACACAACACTAACCTAACCGACCCCTCGACCTCTTTGGTCGAAGGGTATTACTACCGATTTTGACCATCAGAGCGCGCGTCACAATAGCGCGATGCTAACAGGTGAAATTGAGCACGTGACATACGAATAATCCGAGTGAGGGGACGCACTGGTAAAAACGTTCCTGCAATGACGGCGCTGAGAACAGATCCGCGCACAATGTAAATAACGCACGTTTAACCGCATTTCTGTGATGGTTTAGTATCCTGTGCATTTTTTATTGTTTTTTTTTTTTTTCCCTTCCCATCCTCGTCATCTCTCCTCCTCCACCTCCCCCCCGACTGCCACCGCCGCTGCCGCCGCCTCTTTGTCCTTCACCCCTGTCGGGGCCTCCTCCTACTCCTCGTCCTCCTCTTCTTCTTCTCCTTCTTCCTCTTCATCCTCCACCTCTTCTTCTTCGTCGTCCTTCTCCGCCGTCGTGGCCTCCTCCTCCTCCTTCGTCAGGCCCTCCTCTTCTTCCTTTTCCTTTTTTTCCTTCTCCTCCTCCTCTTCTTCCTCCTCCTCTTCTTCCCCATCCTCTTCCTACTCCTCGTCCTCCTAGCCATCCTCCTCCTCCTCCTCCTCCGCTTCTTCTTCTTCCTCCTCTTAGTTCTCTCCCTCCTCCTCCGTCTTTGTGGCCTCCTCCTCCTCCACCTCTTCTTCCTCCTCCTCCGCCTCCTCCTGCTCCTCCTCCTCCTCCTCCTTCTCCTCCTTGTCCTCCATCGTCAGCGCCTCCTCCTCCTCCTCCTCCTCCCCCCCCTCCTTCTTCGTCATCCTCCTCTTTGTCTTCCTCCTCGTCCTTCTCCATCGCCACGGCCTCCTCCTCCCCAGATTCTTCTTCTTCCTCCCCTTCCCGCCAATCCTTGTCCCGCTACTCGTCTTTTGTTTTTGTTAACGGCCTCCTCCTCCCCGTTTTTTGCTTTTGTTTTTTTTTTGCCCGATCAATTAATCAATCAATCAATCAATCGGTCGATCGATCGATCGATCAATCAATCGATCGATCGATCCATCAATCGATCGATCGATCAATCAATCCATCGATCGATCGATCGATCGATCGATTGATTGTCGATTGATTGATTGTCGATTGATTGATTGATTGATTGATTGATTGATTGATTTGATTGATTGATTGATTGATTGATTGAAAAAAGAGTGGACAAAAAAAAAAAAAGCCAGTGAGGAGGAGGAGGAGGAGGAGGTGGAGGAGGAGGAGGCCACGACAATGGAGGAGGAGGAGGGAGAGAACTTAAAGGATGAAGAAGAAAAAGAGGAGGAAGAGGAGGAAGAGGAGGAGGAAGAAGTAGAAGAGGAGGAGGAGGAAAACTAGGAGTACGAAGAGGAGGAAGAAGAGGAGGAGAAAGAGGAGGAGGAGCAGGAAGAAGAGGAGGAGGTGGAGGAGGAGGAGGAGGAGGAGGAGGACAATGAGGAGGAGGAGGAGGAGGACAAAGAGGATGATGAGGAAGAAGAGGAGGAGGGCCCGACGATGGAGGAGGAGGAGGCCACGGCGACGGAGGAGAGGAAGAAGAAGAGGAGGAGGAGGAGGAGGAGGAGGAGGAGGAGAAGGAGGACAAGGAGGAGGAGGTGGAGGAGGAAAAGGAGGACGACGACAACGAGGAGGAGGAGGAAGATGAAAAGGAGGACGAGGAGAGGAAAAGCAGAAGGCGGAAGATAGGAGAAGCGGAAGGAGGAGGAGGAGGGGGGCAAGAAGGAGGAGGAGGTGGATGAAGGGAAGGTGGCTCACCTGATGTGGGCGGGCGATGGCGCATGGGGTTGCGCTCGTGGACCTCAGAGTTCGGCAATGGCAACACCGAACTCCGGCGACAGCGTGCGGGCCGAGACGCCCGGGGGAGAACTCCACTGCCCCCATTTCGAATTTGAAAATAGCCCAATCTAGGTAGTCGTGCTCACAGATCTGATGGCCTAAATTAGGCCTTTTTTTTCGCTTTTGGAGGCCCTACCGGCCTTCAACAATTCTTCCCGTCGACAGCCCGGGTTCGCCTGTCCCCGCAGTCCACCCCCACGCCGCCCAAGTCCGTGTCCTAACCCCCCCCTATTTTTTTTTTCAATCGGACATAGGGCCCCCAGCGGACGGTCGACCGGTTGTCCGATCGGACAATCCCGAACGGTCAAGGGGGTCCCAGACGTCCGATCAAGTGACATAGTTTTTTTTTTTTTTTTTTTGTGAGGACAATTGTCCTCACGAGGTGTTACCTCTGGTAGAAGCTGCCAGAGGTAGTTGTCAGGCTCCCGTTTTTAGAGGGAGCCTAGAAATTGAGGGGTCATAGAGGAAAAGGCTAAGTACAACCTTTTCCCCGATGTATCTGCCCTGGGAAACAGGTCCAGATACATCAAACTGAAAGGGGTGGTAGCTCTCCAACCCCGTATCAGAAAAATAAAAGAAAAGTCCTTTTGGAAATGGCAAAAGCCCAGCTACCTCGTGAAATTCCGAGATAGCTAAAAAAAAATAAAAGAAAAAGAAAATGAGGGCAGTTAAAGAAATTGCCCTCACTAAGGTTGTGGCTATGGTGCGGTTATAGTTAGCCCTGGATCTTGGCCAGATCAAGGGCTCACTGTCAGCCCGCGATTTTGCCTGGGGGCTGGAGTGACGTCCAACCCTCCTCAGCCACTATAAAACAGGCAGTTGCCCCCAGCTGCCACACAAAGCACTCGTGCTGCCGGTGTGTGGCAAGCACACTTTGAGTGTTGCTGGCTGCTGGAGATGCTGCCTGAGGCAACATGGGAGGACGCTGGAGATCTATAGAGGAGCGCAAGGAGAGGAGTTGGGCAGCCATAGCCAAGGCACGGAGCACTCTGCTCCCCTCCCTCTGGTTGGCGCTGGTCCCACGGGACTGACTCAGGGACAGTGCGGGACTATGGCAGTACGACACTGAGGAATTTGGATCCGGGATCCAAATTTTATTAATTTTGGCCTGACATTTTTCCCACTTTAGTGGGAAAATGCAGCCAAAATTTTACAGCGACGAGTAAGCGGCGGCAAGGCTGATTGACAGCGGTACCGGCGGATCAGACCTGGGCAGGCTGTTTCGCCACTTCTGAGGGGAAATGCTGTCGAAAATTTCCAGCGTCAACGACAACCATTTTTGCAACGTTATGCTGCCGAAATTGGGGTTCACCGGGCAACACTAAGTGGAGGAAGAATGCTGGATATTTTTGATACGTCGAAGGGCGCGCCGTCAACGTCAGTGAAGGGGGAAAATTGCAGCGTGAATATTACGGCGGTACAACAGGCGACACTAAAGGTATTGATGATAGTCTGTCAGTAGTCAAGGTGGAGCGGCACGCCGATTTTTGTGTGTGCGTGTACATACGGGCGGTAGCAAGACCATTGACATTGGCCTAGTGGGATCTTTTGGGACCAGCCAAGCGCGTGAGTAGCACGGGCGGTGCCGGCGGAATGGACACTCACGGTTTTATTTTTTTGTGAGACTTGATAGAAGCGGTTTTGGCGGGCGTTGTCATCAGGAGTTGGAAGAACGTGGGACCATCTGGGGCCACCTGGGACCAGTTGGCACAGACATGGGACCAGTGAACTTTTTTTTTTTTTTAGCATGTGCGGCTCGCCGTTTTCACACTTGGGGCCACTGCTTGCAGGACGTGCGAGTGGAGGTTGAATTGAGGCCATTTTGCCGGTTCGGGACTACCTCGAGACTGCGGTTTTCTTCGTTGACGGGTATATTTCTACTTGGCTTTCTCGAGTGAGTCAGGGCATGTTCGGGACCACTTCACTCAAGGTCAATCAGTTGATTGACTCGGATTTCTGTCACACCTGTGTGAACCCACACTTTGCTTGGCTCTGTTTGTTTTGAACGTTCAGAAAAAAGGATTGAGTAAAGTGTGTGTGGTCATGCATGTGAAAACTGGGATCTAATGAGAGTATGAGTATCTGGATTTTCTGAACCTGTTGGTTGTTTTGTGTGTGCAGGTAGGTAGAAGGATGCTTGCGAAGGAGATTGATTATGCTTATTTGATAAAAGGAAAAATTATTGTCTTCTTTTTACCTCTCACCTGTCTGCATATAAAAAATGATTGGTTGTTTTGAAAAACGTTAATTCTGTGTGTTATTGTAAAACGAATTCGATTGAAGAAAAACAGATAAGGCCAAACAGACTTGGTCTTTTTCCAAGAGGATTGACCCTTTCTACCCCGAATGACTTGATCTACCTATCCCTGTCCAAATAATTATCATCCTCTATCCCCTCTGACTTTTTTTTTTTCTTCTCTAAGTTAGTTTGAGTTTAGAAAACAAGAACGGTTAAAACCTACTTGCGGTGAACACATTCTCTTTCTTCAGGAAGCATTTGGGGCGGGGGTTCGTTGCTTTAGGAGTCGACCTTGTTATTGATCAAGAGTGGACCGTTCTACTACGGGGGGGTATTTTGTCGATTCGGTGGAGACGGCCCGACTTCTTAGATCCGAATCTCGTGCTCGGACGAGGAGGAGTACTCCAGACCACTTGCTAAAGCGAGAGGCATGCAACACTTCAAGCAATGTACCTGATCAAGAATCATCCGCAAAGCAGTCTGTCATCCAAAAAGATTGGGCAGGTAACACTGTGGAGATGAGCGCATATGTGCCTAATCTTAGGTCGGCAGTAGGTGGAATGAATAACTTTGGCAGCGCATCTCATCAAGTCAAAACTAAGGTTGTCCGACTACCGTGTCAGCAACATCTATGTTATTGTCGAAAACTAACTCCTCGTTGGAGGCTGTATGATTTTTGTGGAGTTTGACCCGGGGTGGTCGAGTTTTATTTTGACCTTGTGTATCTAATGATGATTTTGATTCTTTCAATTATCATTACAGATTGGATTTGCGTTCTATCGACTACGGTCGATTCCTTTTGATGTAATACTATGTGCATATTATAATTTTTTTTTAATGTGTATCTAAGGGACTAGGATGAAATGTAATTTCACGCTAAGTGACTAATGTTTAAAGGGACAAGGAGTTTTCACGCTTGGTTGAGACCATTCTTGCTGACCGGCGTATGCTTCGTACTTAGGAGATCAGCGCCTTAAGGACGGACGACATTCGGGTTTAATAGGCGTTTTAAACGCGCGTACCTATACTACAGCGACTCGGAGCGAGTAAACGCCCTCGGCTGACCCACCTCTACAACTGCATGTAAAAGTTTCCACACATGGGTCTGTAGCTCGGTAGGGGGTGGTGATAGCCCCTTACCGGGGAAACAAGCTTATGCCCCGCGGGAACCTATCCTGTCGTAGGGGACCGCGGGATGTACAGCTGGCGCACCCGGCTAGAGCAGCAAAGGGACGATGCGACCACGACTGTATCGGCGGTCCGTGGGATTAATTATGCATCGTCTCCGAGTTGTCTCTTTATTCTGTTTTTGTTTAATCTCTTGTGTGACATGGCCGGGAGAGCTCCCTCCTCTTCGCGAGGAAAGGCGGGGGCCGATGCGCTCGACAACGGCTCCTGTATCCAATACCGGAGCTCAGAGAAACCCTGGTTATGTCCTTTGTGTCGCACCGACAAAATCCCGACGGAGGCTTGATTCTTTGAAGCCACGTCCGAAGGATTAGAAAAGACACGCCGATTTCAGCGTGCCGAAGTGTGGACAGATGTCGCTTTGATAGCTACAGTGGTCGGAAACTCCCTCCAAGAATTCACCAAGGAAGATCGGAGGCGGGCTAACGAGAGAGTACGGGATTACCGATGGAACAACGAGCGGTTCGAAAAACGAAAGACTAATGGTAGTGGGATCTGGATGTCAGTGCCTCATCCGTTCATAAGGTATGACTGGTTAAGTTGGCCCACGAGGAAACCGCCGCTTACTTTGCTGTCAGGATCACGGAGACCGTGATTGACAAAAA